CAAATTATCACTTTCATATTCATCGTCAGAAAGGAAGTTGTGAATTTCATTATCTATTAGTTTCATATCATTTAAAGCAGTTGTTAAGCGATTACAAATATATTCAACTTTCTCAATTGAGAAATCATCGTTCAAAGTATCAGTTTCAGTAGAGAAGCAAGAAACATTACTTCGCACGGCTTTCCGCTTTCGTTTCAGGGTGCTACTTTGGTAGACGGTTGCACGGATATTTGGCGATTTACGTTGGCGCAATTGTTGGCGCGATTTCTACAAACATCACCCATCTTGAAAAACGCTGTTTTTACGCATAGTAAAGTATTCGAAAACTTAAAAAAAAAAATAAATAAATATCGTTAGAAATAATGGATTAATTTTTTTGTTGAAAATATCGTTTTTTAAGATGGCAGGCAAGTGTAAATAAATACATTTACTATGAGTATAAAATACTAAAGTAAGGTTATTGTTACTTTCATATAGCAAAGAAGAGAATAAAAACACCGCTATAAAAACATTGTGCCAATGTTTAATTAGATTAAAATATTACTGAAATTGAATATCGAAATAAAAAACATCATCCAACATTTAAAAGAATTAGAATAATATTAAATTTAAATACTTTAAAATACGTTATATAGAATATAATATATATGTAATGTTTTCAGTTATTCCAACACATCGTGGGCGAATGGTGAGGCTATTCCATTACACGTTCTGGCAGATGGTTAACGAAGCTGGGGTGATTGAAACACGGAGTAAAATGACGACTCAGGACTTTTCACTTTTAACAGCAAGCATATCTTTATTTTAATTTATAGCAGATGACTTTTTCCAGATGAAGTTAATCAAATAACTTATTCAGTAATTAAACTATTAGATACGACTGACTTTAATACATCATAACGTTCTAACAAAGAAAGAGGAGCATAGCAGAAGCGTTAGCAGGACGAAGGCGAGAAGGCATCTGTCTAGGAGAACTTATGACTCAGCATTTATATGAATGGTTATGTAACAGAGTAGCTTCTAGAAAAATGTAGAAAACTTATGACGCAGCATTTATATGAGGAGGTTATGTAATAGGCGTGAATGTTCTAGCAGGTACTGGGTTAGGGGACGATCCTGAATTGCAGAAAATTAATTAAAGGTTGCTGGTTCGCAAAGAGCAAAGCCGGCTATTCCATTACACGTTCTGGCAGATGGTTAATGAAGCTGGGGTGATTGAAACACGGAGTAAAATGACGACTCAGGACTTTTCACTTTTAACAGCAAGCATATCTTTATTTTAATTTATAGCAGATGACTTTTTCCAGATGAAGTTAATCAAATAACTTATTCAGTAATTAAACTATTAGATACGACTGACTTTAATACATCATAACGTTCTAACAAAGAAAGAGGAGCATAGCAGAAGCGTTAGCAGGACGAAGGCGAGAAGGCATCTGTCTAGGAGAACTTATGACTCAGCATTTATATGAATGGTTATGTAACAGAGTAGCTTCTAGAAAAATGTAGAAAACTTATGACGCAGCATTTATATGAGGAGGTTATGTAATAGGCGTGAATGTTCTAGCAGGTACTGGGTTAGGGGACGATCCTGAATTGCAGAAAATTAAAGGTTGCTGGTTCGCAAAGAGCAAAGCCATCGTATTTTTTTTTTATATTTACATATATATATATATATATATATATATATATAGAATAATACATTTACTACGAGTATAAAATACTAAAGAAAGGTTAAATTATTACTTTCACATAGCATAGAAATAGAATAAAAATACCACTATAAAAACATTGCGCCAACGTTTAATTGGATTAAAATATTACGTAAATTGAATATCGAATTAAAAACCATCATACCAACGTTTAAAAGAATTAAAATATTACTTAAATTAAATACTTTAAAATAAGTAAATAAGAACGCTTCGTACACTAGAGCTAAAGTGACAGCAATTAGTTTATTGTTGGTAAAAAAGGAAAAAATGGAAAAAATGTCTAATAATTTTCTTACCGTTACAGCGGTTATTTCTTCCAACATGACCACAATATCCATATACGGCCGTTCCTCAGAATCGGCTCTTCTAACGATCTTCATCTGTGATCTACACTTTCTCACGCACTTCATTGAAGAAGCAATTAGCGAAGGTTTCCTTCCAAAAATTTAAAATAAATTTCCTCTGACCCTTGTAAGAATTTATAAATAAATCTTTTGATTAGGAAAGCCAGGCTGGCGAAAATAAGGTCTCAAAGGACAATTTTTTGATTCCGAAACCAAAAATTCTTGGTACTTATCAAAAACAACATTCATCTTTGAAGGAGACATTTTTTGAAGGAATTCGAAGATATGAATTAAATTTAAAATGGCGCGGTAATGCACAAATTTTCAGCAACATATCAGGGAGCTGATTACAGCTCATTAATGCACAAATATTCTAAAACCAATCAGAGAGCTGATTACATCACGCCTAGAATTAAAATTATTTAAATAATCATACATAATAAAATCATTTTAAAAAAGAATGCAAAATTAAATTGTATTTTAATATTTAACAGCCATAATAAATGTTTAAAAAACATTAGATTAAATTTATAGATATTAAAACCAATTACTTTTAAAGTAAGGTGACGTCACTGATTACATCATCCACAGCATAAAATTTCATAAAATATGATAAAGAATAAAATTTTTATTTCAAATAAAAATGCAAAATTAAATTGATTTTTAATATTTAGAAGCCATAAATAATATTTAAAACACGGAATTTATGCATAATAACACGCATTATTTTTTTAAATAAAATGTCAACAAAGTATCGGTTACCATAAATAACTTATCCAGCAATGGGTTTACCATAAGTCGTATTACTCGCCAAAAGAAAAATTGCCAAAAACTCGCCAAAATCCGTGCAACCGTCTACCAAAGTAGCAGCCGTTTCAGCTGCGTCATTTTGTCTACAGCTTCACCGGTCGGCGCCATTGCCCGAGTAGTAGAAAAGAACAAAAGAGAACTAAGTTTTAATGTCGGAAGTAAAATAATTCAGCAAGAATAATCCAACAGTAGGAAGTATAAGTTCAAGGTCCTGTTTCGTAAATAGTTTTTCGGCACCAGATATTAGGAGATAGTATTTTATGCATATTTATTTCCTAACATAAACATGAAGTATAGAACAAGCAAAAGACATTTATAAATACAAAAACGTAAGTGATGCCATTCACAAAAAGGGTAATGTTATTTTTAATAGTTCGCTGGCTTTATCGCAACACTGGCTGATATGCTGGCTGATAGTCATGCCATATATGCTGGCAAGCAGTGGGAGTGATTTCTGTTCCGCTTATTTGAGTTCTTAATAAAATGGTCTTTTACACCTTTAGTTTCTGTTTCCTTATCTAGACATAGTGATCAGTTGCTTATGTCTACATAGCAGTCTTGACGTAATGTATGTTACCAAAATAAATGAGACTCTACAACTAACTGGATTGTCATGATTTGCAAGCGTCAGGTTCAATTCTATATTTTTATCCTTAATAGTAAATAGGATCTGTATAATTCTGCCAACACACCAGTGAATCTTATGTACAATTTTATATAGCGAATAATAAAAGTGTGGCGAATAATGAACTACATTAAATGAATTGCATTGTATATGCCATTAACTTTTAGAATTTATCATGGGTGCCCCATACTTTTATTATTTGCAATATAAAATTGTAGATGAATTTTGTCAATAGAATTATTTAATCTTTTATTCCCATTAAAATATACCATGAATTATTTTACTTTAGCATATTAATTATTAGATTCACTTTTAATGAAAGCTTATTGAATAAAAACTTTTTTTTTAAATTTAATTTAATTTTTGTATTTATATAGCATTACCGATAAATAATTTAAGGAATGCGAATGTGTAAAATGCACAGTTGTTTAAACATCTATTCTTCTGCAGTCTAACTCATTAGATTGCTTCAAAATTGTACGGCAGTAGAAGTCACAAATGTGCTCTGATTTTATTGCTTATTCATAGAATGAAACATAAGCTGTCTACTGTTTCAAATTTAAAGCAAAGGGAACTTCATAATGCTACAGTGGCTTCGGGTGGCATTGTGTTTGCCACTTGGGCACGGATCTGATTTTGCCGCCTCTCTTGATGCACAAGCAAATAACTTAAAGCATCAAAATGGCATATAAAAGTATAAACTAAAACTATGTTTATTTTTTTAAAAAAACATCTGTAATTCCAAGGTTTTAAAAGTACATTACCTTTACTTTTTTTTTTTTTTTTTTTTGTTGTTGTTCACAAAACCATCGACGACAATTTACGTATCTACGTGATTTAAAGATTTTTTAAATGCAAAATAAACATTTGTAACTCTTAAATATTTCTTAAGAAATTTTTATTAGAAAACTGTTCTTTTATCTGGCTGAAATTACTGCAAGTGTAAGATTTCTTCTGGGAGTCGTATTTTAGAATACGACTGCAAAAATTAAAAAAGACTGTTCTTCCACATTCTTAATTTGTTTTTCCTAGCAATAACGGAAATAAAACTCTGAAATACTTCTCTGTTGACAAGGAATTTTTTACTAAAGTCCCCGCGATCATATTTCAGTTGAAATGCTTAATTTTTAATCAAAACTTTTGACGGAACAAAAAAGATAAATGAAGTTGAAATCTTGAGGTGATTTCTTTGAATACTTAATCTACAGCAAAAATTTCTCAGTTTATCTCCGTATGGCAATTCAGAATCTCATTACTTTACCTGCCTCGACGATCCTCGCTACCCTAAAGAAATGTGCCGCCCGAGAAGGCCGTCCCTTCCATCCCCCTCTAGTTACGTATTTTTACAAATTATTAATACAACCTGATGTTTAATAGCAAGTTTCCACTTGCTATTAAACATCAGGAAGGCAAGAAAAGTATTTGTTTAACTCTTTCTTTTTGACCAGACTCAATCGTAATTGAAATACATATTATATATTAATAATTGTTATGCTTTCAAATTTATAGGCTGACCTTATGCTGTGAATATTTCCCAACGAATATCCGTGGAAAAGCTGGATTCTACTTGTGTGTAGGTAAATTTCATACTTTCGTGAAATATTATTTAACTTCTTATCTGGGTTATTGGAGGTGTTAATTGAAAAAGAAACAGCGTATTAGTCATAAATTTGTAGGACTATTTTTAAAGTTTTAAATGTAGAACCATCTTCTTCAGTTGAAAGAAGCACATAAATCCTCTGTTGCCAACACCGTTGACCAAAAATCCCATTTTCCATTTAAAAAAAAAAAAAAATAAAGGCTTCCGTTGGCGAATTAGATTTTTTTAAAGACGTTTCATATTTATAGAAACTTTTCCCTTAATAATGATACGGCAACGTAAATTAATGCAACTTGAGACGAATAATGAGAAAACTGGAGTATAAACTTTTCTAAGGTTAAAGATTTAGCTAACATTAGAAATTTTAATATAAGTATTTCACAAACATGTCATTAACTTTCAAGCAGAATGTTTTAAATCCTGTCTTTATGTTACAGTTCTAAAACGGAAAATAGCACGTGAAATACTTGTGTTTGTAATACTTTCATGTAACGTCCCATTAACATTCAAGCATAACGTTCTTGGTTCGTTTTACGTAAACGTTTTTGGACCATTCTAAATCATGTCTGCATACTGCAGTTCCATAACGCACAGTAACACAGCAGAAAGTGGTACTAATAGCACTTTTTATAACACTTACTGAAAGAATGCTCAGCTCAGTGTGTCTTCTTTCGACTATGAACTCTAATTTCGAGCTTACTATGTTGACCTTTTTCGCTTGCTAACCGTACGCTTGCGGTTCTTGTGATTTTGATTTGATTTCTAAGATTATGGAACTATTTCGTATCATTCGTTTCCAAGCCCTTCTGGAATTCGTTAGGCAATAGAGCAATCCATTCGAAATATCAATAGAACAAACATTGTTGTGAATAGGTTAAGACTTCTACATTACTGGCAACGCAGGTGATAACATGAAAGACCAACAAAAATTTTACACGTGAATTATAAATAAATTAGTAAGTACCCGAATCTCTAATGAATCGAATAAGCGAACATCGTTACGGTATGAAATGTATAGGAATGAAAATGGGAGAATTAAAAAGTATAAAAGAAATTCAACTTTAAAGTTGCATATACAGTTTGAGACTTGGTGTTAAAATTAAACGAAATTAAGGAATTAAATAATACAGGTATTAAATAAATATTAAAAGAAGAAGGATCCATTAAAATATAACTCAAACTTTTTCGCAAAAGTGAGCAATAATATTAATAAAACTAATCAACTCATTAAATGAATCAAAAACTTCACTGTACACAACGTTGCAGGTGAAAATATTGTTAATATCACTGTACATGTAATACATATGTAAACATACATATAATGCATACGTATACACTTTAAACTAAATGCAAACTTCAGAGCAGAAAATTCGCCTCTGCTTTAACTAAAACATAATGAATTGTGCCGCAATCGGTGCTACACAATGAACACTCACTTTTCCCGCCGAGAAGGAGATTCGTCCATGCGTGAGGAAAAAAAATTCCTGTGACCTTGATTACCTGACTGCATCCACAGCACACACATTCCCCTTTTTCAATGCAAGATAATTGCTACTATTAAAGTTTCATCATTCTTGGATTACGCATTCAAGACATACTCAGCATTTGTGAAAAATCAAGGCTGCACAATTAATGTGCATATTTTTGAAACGGTTTAATTTATAAATCAAAAATACACCTGGTGCTGGTCAAGCAGCACCAGAACGTTTAAAGCACGTTCAAAAGCGTCTTTTTCGCTCCATGATGTTATTACTTTCATTTAAAATATTCAAAGTTAAAAAAGAAACGAACTTTCTAAAACTAAAAAACACTCTTTCAGAACGCTTTTAGCATGTGCTGTTAAGTATATACTGATCATTCTCAACCTTTCTTCGCTTCATGCACCCCTTTCATCATTGTTAGAAGATCCTCCCCCTTCTTTTCCCATACTAAAAAAATACATATGCATATATTTCCATTTAGATTATTTTTAGCATGTTTTTATAAATTAAACAACAAAAAGGTACAGAAAATTTGAGTAAAAGTAGTTTCTTTTTTCTTAAGCCAGAAGGACTATTAGTCTCGAAACGGCATTTTGAGTCGAATCGCTATAAACGGCTGCATCTCTTTTCACATTGTTGCCACCAAATATGATCGCCCTGTATTATATTTAAAGAAATTAAATGATGAAAAATCTGCATGAAGGTATGTATGTTTCTCTCAGTGTGAAAAAATAACGGTACCTAGAGCCATTCAATTTTGAATAACATAGTCCTCCACCCTAATAAAGGCACCTGGAAGCTCGGATCTTTAATTTCGAATTTGCCTTATTATCTGTTTCATATTATTTAACCTTTAACCAATTTTTGATATACGAATCTATTAATATTTATAAACTGAGCTTGTTACACAATTTCTAGTGACATTACTAAAATTATTGGAACATTTTGACTTTTTAAATGTTAAAACAAAAGAAAGAAATAAGAGTAAATATTTGATATTGATTTTCTTCAACAAAAGTTAAAATCTAGCATGATAAAATATTACTTACTGAAAAAATATTCGTGAAGGTATATCCTGAAGATTAAACAGGCATTGTATTAGGATCACCTCAAATATTATTCTTTAAATTTAGCTACCTGAGCATAAGAACAATGATTTTAATATTTTCTCTAGTACCAACATGTTACTAAATATTTCCAAAAACAGTTTCATTTCCATGTATTTTAATATTCTCATTTTTTAATGCATTCCACTCGTTGCCAGTACTTCTGGTCTGTTGGCACAATCGGTGTCATCCTCATGACTTGGGTCATTATGGAGTATTTGAACAATTGGAGAATTCTCATAGCAGCCGCTACTATTCCTGTCTTTCTCGTTATCATCTCACTCAAGGTAAGTCAAATACGTCAGTAAGGTGTTTATAAATATTCTTATCTTCGGTATGAGAGCCATAAGTTTCTGACACACATTTAGGTACAGATGTGTCGAACTATGCGATTTTATCGAGATTTTTTTCATATAGCAACCCATTTAAGAGCGTTGACAAATATATTAAATTTTTGTTTTGTAATTTTTCTTATTTCTGCTGCACTTTTTTTCAAAATTTAAATTTCTACATTTTTGCTAACTTTCTTGACATTGTTCTCGTAGTTTTCTCAAACTACCTGCGAAGGTCACGTCGAATCTTTCTTTTCTATATGTTTACTAGCTTTTCTAATCTTATTCCAGTTTAATAAAAGAGCCTACTTGTACGGCGAAGCAAATGAGAAATGATATTCAGTCTACTGAGTCAGCTGTACATTCATTTTCTCGAATTATAGTTTAAACCTAAGGAAAAGGAGAGATAAAAATAAAACTGATTCAAGTTACAGGGAAGTAGAAATGTCTTATTAGATATTTAAATAATAATATTACTATGTGTTCTTACAGGAGCATGGGATTCTTTCAAAAAAAATAATACTGCGATAGTTACTGGCAGTTTATCCATGAATCCTTTTTATGAATGCTCTAACCGCGTCATTCAAAAATTACTCGCATAATTTTCCCCTCTCTCTCGATTTTCGGATCATAAAATTAATTAAAAAAAGGGGGGAAAAACGACATATTGTAGTGAGCCGTCACAAGATTTGACCGCTAATCTCAGGACAGAAAAACAGTTTATGTTCCTTATAATGCAGAATCAGGTCATTTTGGTTCAAATGTACTTATATTTAGTCCTATAACAAATATTAATAATCCTTGTCAGAAATATTCCTAATGAGAAATGAATAAAACAGCTTATTTAAAATTGTTTACTTAGGAAGTGAACGAATTAAACACTATAGCTTGTATAATTGATCTCGAAATTGATCAGAAATGAGCAAAACTTCGAGCTCAACTTCTGCTTCGTTCCGCTGATTATATAAAAGAAAAAAGAAACTTTAGGCGCTCCCGAATGTTTTAAAGTGTGCATCTGTCATGTGAACTGCAGTGCCCTCTCAGTTATCCAGGCTAATGCCGGGGAAGCAGATAACGGATAATCGAAAAATACAGATAATCCAAACTATCAGTTTTTATGCATACTACATGTGTTTTATTTCTTTAAAAAAATCGGCCACTTTACTTTGTTTTTGCGAACGTTTAAATGCTTGTCGAATTTCACTGCATATTTTTCGAAATGCTGTTTAATCATTGCACTCGAATGCTTTTTGATCGGTGATGTCCTACAGAGTTTCAACAAAAGTCATCGCTATCTTGGGCCTAATGAATGTAATTGTCTGTTATCTTCTCTGCTTGTATTTTCGGTATCACTCTCTGCCTCTTTTGTTCTCCCGCATCACGCTGTCGAATCGCTATTGAACCAATCTTCGAGGATTTCCCAATCGACATTTTCAATTTTTCGGCATACAACTTCTACTATTACCTCGACTTCTTCACAATTAGACAAATTTCCCAGGAAGAATGTTTCTCCGTGATCGAACCAGTGTTATTGGTTTTACTTATTGTTTTATCGGCCGTTATTGGTTTGTTATTGGTTTATCGGCCACCTTCCACGTTCCTGTTTCATTTTCCCTATTAATGACGGAGCTAAAACTCTGAAATACTTTTTTCTTGTCGATTAATGTTATCGTAATCATCATTTAGTTCATATTCATAATTTGCACTCAAACATTTCATAGAAATAAAATAGGAATAACAAAGTTATGCAGTTGTTCAAATCACGTCGTGATCTCTTCGAATACTTGATTTAGAATAAAAGTTATATATGTTCTAAATTTAACTGTATGTGTAAATTTATAATCTAATTATACTTCACGTGCCTGGACGATCTATCTGACTGATTCTTATAAAATAAACTTTCAAGCAAAACATGTTGCCCCTAAAAATGTGCCGCACGAGGCGAACCACTCCTTCCCCTTTCTAGCTATGCCATCGAGTTTCCGCAATTTTTGTATTGTGTAAGAGTGAAAACGTGTTATACCAGCGTTATCTGTATTTAAAATCGTTTTATCAAACAGTGGTATCCTGAAAGCGCGAGGTACTATCTCGTGAGCAACCGCCACGAGGAAGCGAGGAAAATTCTGGAAAAGATGGCCACCATGAACGGCACACAGTTACCATATGGACACCTGATAGAAGTCTCACAATGCAAGAGGCGGGGAAGATTCTGGGACTTGCTCAGCAAAGAATATAGAAAGTCAACTCTCTTGTTCTGGTACATCTGGTGAGTAAATGTTTTTTAGTAATTTGTTTCGGAGAATGGCTTTATCTTATGATGTTGGGTGGCCCCAACATGTCAGCAACAGTAGTAGTGACTGCTATGAACTGGAAATTACACAAACTCTTAAGAAGGGTTTAACTCCCTTTTTATTTCACTTTAAAAATCACAGTTGCGTTCACTTGACGCTCACAAACTACACCGACCCAGCGGTTAAATAAAAATCAGAAAGTACAACTAAAAATAAATAACCGGATGAATAAATAACAAGTCACTACCTACGAGGCTCTATAAACGTGACTAACTTAACCGCGTTCTAAGATACAGCTGAGATTCAGCAAACTTTCTGATTAAGAATTTGAAAGATTCAACGAACTGTCGAAATAGGCACACAGGCCGAAACGCGCGGTTCTTAAACTTTCTACCAAGCAACCTTCACGCTCGTGATTCAAGAAGCACACTTACAATCTCGTTCCCCTTCTATTTAACTCAAATATTTAACTCAATGTATTTAACTTCTGCAAAACTTTGAATACTCTACGCGTTCTACTGCGATTTACATACTCTGGCATTGGCAATTCTAAGGGAAAGTAAAGGCTTCACAGGAAAGATAGCTTGAAATAAATGTTGGTTAAAATAAATATAAACCCTACAATCTACTTGTAGGTAGTGGGTAGGTAGAAGTGAATAGGATAACAGAAACTTAATCACAGATCGCACAGGTAGAGTCCCAGCCTACTAACTATCTCTAGAATTAGTCCCATCATGGGGGCCATTCGTTTAGATTGCGAGTTTGTATGGATGAGGTGATAGGTTATTTTGGGGTATGAGACTAATGTCTAAGAATATATCAACATGCAATAAAAACAATTAAATAACTTGAGGCAATTATCAACTGCCTCTCAAATGGAGGAGAGAAAATACATGCATCAAACTAAAATAATAGTTATGTCATATATTCGCACCTAACTGAAGAAACACCTATATCATAAATTCATAAGAAATATCTGCACCAAACTAAACAGACAGCTGTATCATATATTCACAAGAAAAGTCAACATATGAATAGTTCTGTATTATTAAAATATTCGTGATATAATAAGAAATACAAATCTTGCACAAAAGAATTTGATAGCAAAAGCAGAGGCGTACAGATTTCGCCACCAGGGACGGTGTCAGAATTTGCCACCCTTCTTGATATTCAAACAAATATCTTAAAAGATGTCAAAAGGACATAAATTAAAACTCTACTTTTATTGGAAGAAAATTATTAAAGAAAGACTTTAGTTCCAACTTTTCCAAAATTATATTATTATTATTATTATTATTTGTTTATTTGTAAAACCATTGACGACAATATAGAAATTTACCCAATCGCTCCAATTGGCTGTTATATTGACAGTATAAAAAGGTTTCTTAAATGCAAATAAACACTGTTGTTCTTAAAAATTTCTTAACTGATTTCTATTTAGAAAACTCTTCTCACAACTAGCAACACATACAATTTTCAAAAATTTCATAGTAGTATTAAAATATTTGAAACTTTGTATTTTAGACTCCGTATTTCAGAATAAACTGCAAAAATTTAAAAGAACTACCCTTTCATGTTTCTGTTTTATTTTCACTAGTAATAACGTAAATAAAACTCTGAAATACTTTTCTCTTAGCGAAGAATTCTTCCTTATCAATATCACCGTGCTCGTAATTTAGTTGATATTCGTAATTTCAGTCAAAAGTTTTGGTGGAATAAAAAAGGTATAACAGCAGCATGTAGTTGTTGAAACCTCGTGGTAATTTCTTTGCATACTTCTTCTACAGCAAAAACTATGTTTCACTGTAATTTAGTTGAGTATGAGGATTCAGAATCCCATAACGCTTTACCAGCCTCCCCGATTCACATGCCTAGACCCTAAAGTAATCTTTTACTTGAAACAATGTGCCACAAAAATCGTACCGCCCGGAGAGGACGGGCTTTTTTCCCAGCTCTAGTTACTCCACTGGGCTATGCATTTCATCACTCTTTGGTATGGCTAAGACAGATAAGTACTGTGATCGGTGGTGCCTACGTTTTACCATCAGCAGCGAAGACTCTCTGGCTTCAATGGCGGTTATACAGGGTCTCTTTTTCCAAGGACAAAAATAAAGAATTATGTTACTGTCGACTCCGCTTAATATGATGGTGATTAATGTTATCATTCAGATACTATTATCGAATTCCCCAATTGCTGTCCATTTTTATACGAAAAATATTGCACATTGTGATCAATAGTTTGACTAATATGATCAAAATACCATAGAGTAAATTTTGAAAACTGAAGTAAAGTCGCCAAATAAGATATCAGACACTGGTCGTTCTTCTTGAGAAGCAAAAAATGTCTGCAGAATTTTTTTGTTTCTCTGGAAAAAGAAAATTCTCTGAAAACATCTACTTCAAATTAAAGTTGCTTTTTTCCGCCAACTTTAAATGTTACATTGGTTTTCTTTCAATGAGAGACACCCTTCGAATATTAAGATTAGGGGTACAGCATCGATTAAATAATTTACAGAAACGTGATGTAATTTGTACCGTCTTGTATTCTCAGCGAGCATAAACTAACTAGACGTTAACAGACTGGATAAAGAATTTTCCTTCAGTATGACAAAGTCCAGAGAAAGGTATAAAGAAATCGCACATGGCCCTGACTCGTCCTCACAAAAGCCAACACTTATGGCTTAACTCAAAAGGTAACAAGTAACTTAAAACAGAATAGAATTAAGTTAGCCTAACGGTTTTTTACACGTTACTCAACGCACAGGCAGGCTTTGACTCGTAAAAGTCGGCGTAAACTAATGGCTAGAGGAATTTAATCGCTATTAAATCAAAGATAACAACATGGCAGGCAGAACACGATTGCTCAAAAATCACCTTCCAAAAGTTTCCCTTTTAAATACCAACTTCTTTCTACCTCATATGAATACACGCGCGCTTACTCATTTACGTTCTGGCAAGAAAGCGTGGGTTGAAACGAGATCAGTAGAAAGGGTTGTTTCAACATAAAATTAACTGTTAAGTAACGTGAATAAATCCCTGCAAGTTCATAAATGAACTTTTGCGGTTTCCTAATTAAAGTGTGGTGAGAGTGCCTCTTTATATATTTATGAGTTAAAATTATTAGTTTTTATTAAATTAGTTCAATTCCATTGCCGTTTTGAAAGATTTTTTTTCTCAACGCTTAAAGTTTCATTCAGTCAATGTTATCAATATAATCATGGACAAAAGTAATCATATTAAGCGACGTTTACTGTATTATTAAGTGAATTTCATCATTTGGAGCATGAAAGCATTTGCAATAAAGTAATTCTGCAATAAAATAAAGTATTTCCAGAAAGTTTTTATTTCTTTCTCTCTTTCAGGTTGGCTGTGGCATTTACCTATTACGGTATTACTCTCATCACTCCTACTATCATTCAGAAAGGAAGTCTTCTTGCAAGTAAGCATCAGTTTCTGTTCTGAAGAACCTTAAACTTACTTGCCCCCCCCCATCATCTTCTTCTTCTGAAGTACTCGTTAGTGCAACGTGTCCATTTACAATTTAAAGAAGCATCAATGAGATTTAAATTTTTAAAAAGATATACCCTGAATTTGAAGTAAAAATTTATTAATTAAGTAAGTTTTGAAGTTCATATTCCACAATTTATAGTCTGTAAAATTTTTCTAAAGCTGTTAAAATTGGTTCCATATACAGTGGTGGCCAAAATTGTGGACACTTTTGGAAATTTTTATGTTTTTGAACTTTTTATGCTTATAGAAAATGTTACGTTTCGCAAAATGCAAACTTGTATATATCATTTTAAAGAGAATTTATTAGTGAATTCAATACAAAACACAAAATTCAATTATTTGCAATACAAAAAAAGTTATATGTACTTTAATATAAATAAAAAACACAGTTATGAAGTGGTTTGTAATGTCTAGCTTTCCTGGCCAATCACTGTTCTAGTTGTGAGAACCAATTAAATGTTAGTAATTGCCAGTAGAAGCTGACATCATGTTTACACTTGAAACAATTCATTATTTGGCTTTGTTCTGTAGAAGGAGGATCTGTTTCTTATACACTGCAATTACAAGTAGAAATTTTTGTAAAAATTTTTAATATTTAGTCAAGAAGTAATGACACCAAATAAAAGAGTAGATTGGACACCTAGAAAGAGATGTAATATTATTGTGTTACGAGAAAGTGGTCTTTCCTATGCTGAAATTGCAAGACAGGTGGGTGGTTCAGTGACTACATCTGGAGTTCGAAAGTTTTGTTTACGATATCAGGAGACAAATTCAATAAAAATCATAGAAGGAAAAGGCCGAAAAGTGCACCACATCTATTGATGACAGAAGAATAAAAAGACTATGTCTCCAATATAGAAAAATGTCATCAGCGGCCATCAGAAGTGATCTGAATGATGCTGGTGTTTCTGTCATTTCAAGAACAATCAGGAGAAGATTAACAGATGTTGGACTGAGAGGTAGAATTCCACGAAAAAAGCCTTATCTTAATTTTCAGCAACGAAAAAAAAAAGACTACAGTGGGCAAAGGAACACATTAATTGGACAGATGATCAGTGGTCACAAGTTATATAGAGTGATGAAACTAAGATATCGTTATTCGGTAGTGATGGGCGAAAATATGTAAGACATAGAATAGGAGAAGAGCTACATCCTGACTGCATTTAAGCAACTGTGAAGAACCCAGTTAGTGTTATGATTTGGTCATGCATGTCAGCAGATGGTATTGGTCGCCTTCATGTCACCGATGGGACACTGAATGCCAGAAAATACATTGACACTATTCTAGAACCAAAACTTCTACCTTCCATCAGAGATCTCTTTCCCAACAATGCTTCGTTTATTGTTCAGCAGGATTCTGCTCCTTGCCACAGGACCAAAATATCTAAAGAATGGTTTCGCACAAAGAGCATTAAATTGTTATCATGGCTAAGAAACAGTCCTGACCTCAATCCTATCGAAAATTTGTGGCACCGTTTGAAAACTCTTGTCCGAATGAGGCGCCCATCAAATAAAAGGAAACTAATTGAGGCTATAATTGTTTCCTGGCATCATGTAATAACGAAAGAAGAGCTTAAAACTCTTGTCAGCTCAATGAAACGTCGATGTGAAGCTGTAATCAAAAATAAATTGTACCCTACTAAATACTGATAACTCACTGCAATCATCACTATCTAATGTATATCGATAACTATTATCGTTTAACTTCTTTTGTACTGCAAATAATTGAATTTTGTGTTTTGTATTGAATTCAGTAATAAATTCTCTTTAAAATGATATATACAAGTTTGCATTTTGTGAAACATAACGTTTTCTATAAGCATATAAAGTTCAAAATAATAAAAATTTCCAAAAGTGTCCACAATTTTGGCCACCACTGTAGATGGCTTTCAGCATAAAGTCTTCTTCACTACAGAATGCAACCATTTTTTTCTCCTCTTGAGTTTCGAAACACAGGATGGTCAATTATCTTCTCACAGGAAATGCTAAAAAAACATCATATCTGCCTACCTCTTCAAATTCTGGTAAATTACTGAAAATGTGGCTTCTTTATGCAAACCTTGCCTATCGTATTCCTGGATAGTGACTCGCCTAAGAAATTTTGAATTAGCTGATGAATGGTAACGAAGGAACTACATTAAGTACTCTAAATAGCTGCATAGCAATTATTTCTTTCTGTATTTTGTATTCACTAAATATAGGGAGTTTTATTCTCCCTATATTCAGTAAAGAAAAGTAAAATGTGGGTTCAGTTATAATGAATGTTCCTTCAATAGATGCCTGCCTTGAGTTCAGCTCCATAACAGACGTACGCTAAGATTCATTGAGAAATCATATGCACATCGGTAAATTAAATTACGGAGTTTGTGGCGGTAGTACATCACCAGTGCGATAATAATTTACTAATTGAACTGCTTCGCCATTTGGTGAGGAATGATTCTTACAGCAACCCTGTAGACGGGCTCGCGGGACTATATTGAACACTTCTACCGTCTTATTTACTGTTTACTCTGGGAACTGACCGCAGTGTGTAAATCCTGCTGGCTCCTCAAACTTAACATTATATACTTCTGTCAAATCTTTCCAATAATATATTTGTTAATTTTTCTTCTTTTTAAAGTGTCAAGTTTTAAAGATTAACTTTATAGCTGGCATCGATTAATGGATTTGATTAATTTATTTATTTAGTTAATCATAACTTTTAAACTTTTATGCACGTGTTCAATTAGCGTTTTAAAACTTCTGTGGGCTCCAACGAAACGCCGTTCTGAAATTTGTATCCATTAAGCATGTATATTTTTGCAAACCCATTTACTTGAAATTGTCGAAACTACTGCCGAATGTTCTTGAACTAGAGCAAATTTTGCTAAAGGCGAATCAAATAAGTAAGTCAAATCAAGTAGTGTAAAGAAGCAGCTCAGCATTGAGATGGAACAACACATGCAAATGGCACCAGAACTACCTGCCAGCTAAGATTGAAAGTTAGAAAACTGCTCTTCCCAGATGGCCAGTTACTCATCTAAAGAAACTGCTTGAAGACTATGTTGTAGTGGCTCCCAACAGGATCGGTATTCACTCCACTGTGGATGGATAAAATTTTAAAGTGGGCTAATGAAGAACAGAGGTCGATAGCAAAATATGCATGGGAAAATTGATTGGCATAATTAATATCATACTGATTACATGTTGTTGTTGTTGCTTATGCTCACTTGTCGAACGAAGTCAGCCCAAACCCACGAATTTCCTCGTGCCACGAGGGAATTCAAGGAGCGCTAGATTACTCCTGCAGTTGGCAACAGTTTTGAGAACCTTTCAGATGACAGTGGGATTTAGCTCAGTTCCGCCTCCAATTTTGATTGAGAGCACCCCGGGGGAGCGATGGGTCATAGGGTCTCCCAGCCCTTTCCCTTTCCACCAAGCCCAAGCTTTCGAATAGCCGCATATTTAGAATGCCGCCATGCCGCACACACATTATACATTTACAAGCATCCATGCCTTCTCCGTGATTCGAACCCGGGCCCTTTGGCCTCGCAGTCGGTGACGCTAACCACTATACGGTTTGGCCGGCATGCTGATTACATAAAACATACAAATAAAATTTTATTATTAAATATTTATTGATATTAAGCCAATATTAAGCTATGTCATGTTTTAAATAAGAATCCATATAAAAACAAGGAAAATATACACTAAAATTGCGATATATCTCATCGTGATATTGTGAAGAATTGATTGCATTGAAGGAGGATGTCTTATTCAGAATACAAGGGTTAGTTAATTTTTGAAATTTAAAAATTAACTCAAAAATTAACTAACCCAGGGAAATATCTTAAAATAACAGTTGTTACCGAATCAATATTATAGACTTTTCCCTCTTTTTAACTAGCGGTTGGTTTGATTTATTTGATTATGGTGAAGCACTGGCGGCTGTCTGCCTTACGGGAAAGAATCCCTTCGTGCTTGTCTTTCTAAAGGAAATACGCACGTATCCACGTTAAAACGGGCAAAACATTAAAAACTTCCATGTAGTCAGCTTATTTGCCTGATATGGAACAAAAGTCAAACAACTAGTGCAAAGAAGCTTTAGTTAAATCAATAGTTTACAACGGGGGGGGGCGGAAATAGGTTGAATATTGTTGAATGCGGAGATTTAAAAATCAAGTTAAGCACTTTTAGGCCAAATACACTCATGTCCATAAATTGAGGATAATGCAAAATCAGGCAAAGGAAGAGTTAGCAGCAAAACAAATTTGACTTATTTGTAAAGCTTATTTATTAAACAAAAGGTAAAGAGTAAAAAAATAAAGATGCTATATGTTTGATATTATTAAAAAAAATAGCGATTTTTCTCCCTGGAGCAAATTACAAAAAAAAAAAAAAAAAAAAAAATATTTACAAAAAACCAGTATTACATGGTTGGTATAATTGTTAATACATTGTATGTCTACCAGACGATGCAACAATGCAGTCCGTACAACGCCTAGGCATGCTGAGTATCAAATTATCGATCTGATCTTGGGGAATATTACACCACTCAAAAAGCAATGCTCTCCGAAGTTCCGGTAGACATGTAGGAGGAGGTTGACGGGCTGCAACTCATCGGCCAAGCATGTCCCACACGTGCTCTACTGGATTCAAGTCCGGTGAGAATGCTGGCTAGTCCATACGGGTGATAGCCACCGATTGAAGGCATTCGCTTACCATGTTTGCACGGTGAGGACAGGCGTTGTCATCCATAAACACAAATTGTGCGCCCATGGCGCCCCGAACATGTTGTTCCAGAATGACGTCGCGATAGATTTGGCTTTGTCATGGTTCCAATCTGAACATGCAGGTCAATTCTGGAATCCTGAATAATTCCACCCCAAACGAGCACTCCTGCAACACCGTAACGGTGTCGTTCAATGATGTATTCTTGGTGGTAACGACCCACTGTTGCCACTGTTGCGGTGTCCACAATGCATGCTCTCTACTCCAGGCTAACCGCAGGGAACAGTGAGTTGCAGTAAGTGGAACGCATCTGACAGGTCTACGAGCAATATAGACCAATCTGCCCTATGCGTCTGTACACGGTCTGCCTTGAAATTCTCGTACCAGTGGCTGAAGAGAGCTGACGAGACGGGTCTGAGGCTGTGCTCCGCCCGTTTCTTTTGGCAGTAACTGTCAAATACCGGTCCTCATTCGGCGTTGTAACTCTGGGGCGACCTGTGCTGTAACGTCTACTCACATTACCATCATCTTGGAATCGTTGCCAAATCCTGGAGATGACACTCTGGGCAATTCCAAGTTCGTCTGATACTTCCAGTTGAGTACACCCACATTCCAGACGGCCGATAATTCTACCACGTAAAAATTATCCAAATACTTCCTTTGTGTCATAAAGATTCGGTTATTGCACTGAAATGCTTATAAAGCGCCTGTGAACAATTTTACTTCTTTGCCTGTATTCCTTATATATCACTCTCGGTATTGTGACGTACCATCGGTGTCATCTGGTTACTTCCTGAAATTTGCATATGATTCTTGAAGATCTGTGTAGTGATTTTACAGGTGATATATTTATTTTAGAGTTCGATTTCCGCGTGACTCCGAACTATCCTTAATTTATGGACATGAGTGTATTTGAAACATTTCATTCATACACGGAGCGCAGCTAACCCATTCATTAAAACCGAACTTTGGGGCAATTAGAAGTATGGTTTTATTTTTGGTAACCTGTTTATATTTGTAAAATTGAAAATAATATAAATACAAAATATAATAAAACTAATAAATATTTTTTTTTCAAAACTTTTGTTCATGTTCCTAGTGTAGCTGCTATCTTTAAGCTATTGATCTATTACAATTCTTTTCTGCCAATAAATGTTTTACACGTAATCTTTAGTATGAGCTCCAGTATCTTAAATTATCCTATCCTAAATGATATATCATTTTAATAGCACAATGATGATCTATTTTTGTTAAATGATTTCGTTTTTTCCCCTGTAAAATATGATTTGCTCTTCTTTTGAAATTAAAGTAAATAGTATTGTTCAGTTTAAAACATTGTAAGAATTTATGGATTTAAATATTTAACACTTTTATAGGTGAGGACCAAAACAGTACAAACTTTTCTTATTTTGACGATTTATCTCAGCGGGTGCCATGTACGCAATTCACTCGACAAAACTACATTGATCTCCTCTGGAGCACCGCCGCCGAATTTCCAGGCAAGTGTAAAATATTTTCATTTAAACTTCACATTCGTCGGTTTGATATCATCCTTATAAACAACAAAGAAAACTGTTCAATAGAAATCCAAGCTTTTGGCTTCAATGATTCCAAAATTTATATACTTATTCTAAACTGATTTAATATATTTCAGGCCTCATCATCTTTACGTTCCTCATAGAGCACTGTAATCGTAAAGTTCTTCTCGGTAGCTCCTGTGCAATAAGCGGCGTACTGGTCTTTCTTCTACTGCTAAATACTCAGTAGTAAGTGGATTATTTTTCTGTCATCATTTTTTCTTCCGCCTTTCGTCATACTTTAATTATAGTTAGATAAATTTATTTGCGATTAATTTAAAAGCTACTGTTTCTACTCAATTATTGTCGAAGAAAGCTAAACATTTATTATCAACCCTTATATATAATAAGAACGTGCAGAATTCTGCTATGTCTAGAAGCTTATCTCAATGTCCTTTAGACCCTATTAGACTGGAAAGCGAGAAATCGCTGTAGCCTGAAGCAAATGAAGTAAATCGTAAGAAAGTTATAATAACCTTTCAGTTTAACTCTTTAAATGAACAGAAGGCACTATTTGTACTGCAGATAAACAGCCGCTACTTGCTGGCATTTAACATGATGTAAAATTGTAAAATTGCATGTTAATTAACCAGTTATTATGATTTGAATCTTTGCTTCTTCTTTTCTACATGTGAATCTGTACTACTTGTGCACAAGTTTCTTTACTTCTTCTTTACGTAGTTCTCACCAGACTGCAAATTAGTTGTTGTGTATTTAAGCCAAAGATTTGAATGTTTTAAAGATAGTTCTGGCAACTTCGCCTTTCTGTTACTATCGCCAGCTTTGCCGAAGTTATTCCGTCTTTACCATCTTACTAGCCGACGTTTAAAATACGCCGTTAACGTTCTTCTGCTAGCCTGAGTGATCTATTTCATGTGAAGTCTTAGATTACATTACTTTATGACACCTATAAGTGTTAGATTTGAGAGAGTTTATGTTGAAATCATACGGCCAGCTCAGTGGATCCTAATTATTTGGTTTTAATAAATCTCGTACACGATTTATCGCGATGGCAGTAAAGTATCAAAGTTCATGCAGATAGAAACACTGAATAAACTCAGCATAAATTTTAATAAATCTATACTTGAACAATAAACATAATTGTCATAGTACAGATAAGTTTATTTGACTGCACATTAATTTCAGAATAAAATTTAACTATCGAATATTTTATAACTTAGTTTACTCTAAGAGAAACAACAATTCTTTATCGATTATTAATTATCTTTATCAATTATTTGTCTCGTTTAATTTTTTAACTCGCGTTAAACTGCGGCTTACCATTTTGGGCAGATACTTTCATGGAATCTCCTGCATTAGCCACGATTAATAGCAATATTCACCAACAACAAATTTCCCGCAGCTCCATCGTTCTCGCTCGCTCAAGCATCCTCTGATCATGTAATATTTGCACACACGGCAGTTTCGCATAAGCCCTTGGGCACATCACTGAAATTTTCTAACAGTTATAACCGGTTATAGACAACAAGTGACATTACCGCACCGCCTGTCAGAAGTAGTCAATCAGATTTATATAGTTTATTGACACAATGTTTTACTAAGTGGTGTCCATTCCTGTTTTGACGGTAGATTTCTAATAACTATAACTTTCTTGCTTGCGTGCACGATTTTGAAGTAAACTTTGGTTAGAATTAAAAAAAAAAAAAGAACACCAACTTTAAAAACCTGAAATGAGTTCGAAATGACAAATTACTATGTCCCTCACTTAAAAATTTCAGAAATCATCTTTGATTTTGGAGCTACGCAAATAAAATGTTATTTGTTAAGAAAATATAATTTTACGAGTATTAATTTTAACACTGGTCATTATAATTGTGCATTATGTTTCTACTTCAAATTGAAAAGATAATTCTTCAAATAGAAAGAAAAAAAATCAGCTAAAAAAAACTAAATTTTTATATAATGATGCGTGCAATACATATTACAGTATTATGAAGATGACGGAAAAGATATTTTATTAAAATATTTTAATGTTTGAGATATAAAACAAAAGTAGCAAGTATATTATTTAGAGTATCGAAATCAGTATACAAAATTTCACGCTTATAAACCAGTTATAAAGCTTTTCAGCTTTGAAATGAATTTTGAAGATATTTTTATATTTTAAAGTTACATCCCGCCTTAAAGTATTTATCATTTTTTAATTATTAAAACATATATAATGTAAGCGTTTAGTTAAAATCTATGTTTGTGCAGTTCAGTTGCTTAAAATTTTGTAAATCGTAATGTGTTCTCGTTGTTCTAAGTTATCGAAAGGTAATCAGAACCTTTTTTTTTTTTTTTTTTTTTTTTTCGAAACTGTCACTAAACTATACGAACTACTGATTACTCTTCCAGCAATTAATGTTCCTTGTGCGCAAGTGTCCCTGCTTTTCGATTTGTGCGCAAGTGCGTTAATCCAGCCCTATAGGCACAGACTCAGACTTTCCTTTAAATTTTACAATTTCAGTTATAGCCTATTTATACTCTTACGTTTGCTTCATAAAAATCTACATAACTCCTTGGAAGGAATGAGCTGAGTGATTAGGCAAGAAGAGATAGTAAAGATACAAATTTAAAAACAACTTGTTAGTTAAATAAACTAAATTGTCAAAACCTGCACTGAAACTACTTCATCTAATGCTACGTCAAATATCTTCATCTGTAACGCAAATGGTGCTTTCTGTTCACTTAACGACTTAAATGAAAAGATTATTTTAACCTTACGATTCACTTCATTGGCTTCAAATTCAAAAGCTAATTCGCTACCGGTCTAGTAGGTCTGAAGAACACTGAGATAAGCTTCTAGACATAGTAGAAACCTACAAACTTATAAATTAATAAAGCTGATATAGTTTAAAACATTTGCAGGACTTTGAAAAATTCAAAATTTACATTATAGCTTGAAAATGAAAGACTTAAATTTGAGGTCTTGCATTTTTAAATTGAATACAAATATTAAAATGTCAGTGAAAAATATTAAAATGTCAACAAATTAAATTTACTATATATTCAATAATTAAAGTTATGCAGGACTTCGAGTAATGCTTACGTTGAGTATCGAAATTTTGTTCTCTATACAGCAAAATCCTCATCCTGCTGTTTTTGTTTGGAGCTCGAGCTATCATTCTAGCTGATTTTCAGCTCATTTTTGTGATGACAACAGAAGTAAGTTGTAAATTTTTTAATTCCTTTATAATATCCGACTCTGAGTAAAATAACACCCCAAATAACGATTATTGGAGGCGTTAAGGCAATAAGAATCAGCGTAGTATTCATAAATTTCCAGGACTAGTACCGAAGGTTAAAATATAAAAATTGCTTCTTCAGTTGCCGAAGTGCAGATGACAAAAGAGAAACCTGTGCTCAGGTTATATCAAGGACATAAAAGAAGTAAATCTACTGGCGTCATCTGTTGTTGCGAAGCGATTAACGATACTAATGCGTAGTTCGAAAGGCTAGTAATAACTTGACGATTCTTGTTCGAACGCTAATTTTGTTTCGACGAATTTGCATCAGTGGTAAATTTGATCTTGATTTGGATACAAAAAATTCATGACGATATCTTTCATTTATATTTAATGAAAGCACCAAAATATATCACAGCAATACACATACATCGCAATGGCAACCCAGTAATAATGTAAAAAACAGAATTCTTTTGGCGTAACGCCCCTTATATAAAGTCCACCACTGCTCTAATTAATTACAACAAAATTTTAGTAATCAAAATCATACACGAATAATATGAAACTAATTGCAAAAAAAAGCAGAACAAATATACAGTGTCTCAAAAAGTGATGGGACACTTGTGCTTTACAAAAGGAAACTGTAATAAAATAAATTTAAAAAACATGTAAAATTTTTTGTGGGTGTGTTTTCATACTTAAATTTAGTAACAATTATTACATAACATACATTTTCTCAAAATATTAAAATATTAATTTAATAAAAATACAATTGTTTAGAACGGAGCAAAAAATGGCTCACATAAGTGATGGGACACTACGTACTATGCAACAAAAATCGTCTGAAGTAAGCAATAAAAATATCTTTTGGGGTTTTATTTTTACTCAAAAGCAATTGGCAATAATTTATAAAAAATCGTCTGCAGTATTTCTCTCCAGTTTGTTTTGGAATTTTTTGTGTTTTTTAGCTCTGTGCAGCCATGAATGCTAAACGAAAAGAAACTTTGCCTGAAATTCGAAAATTAGTTATTAATTTGCATATTGAACGTGGAAAATCTATTAGAGAAACTGCTGAAACAGTTAACTTGAGTCATTCAACAGTTTTCAATATCATTAAAAACGATATAAAAAGAATCATATGATTCAGGATAAAAGAAGACCTGGCCGACCATCAAAGCTATCCAATGGAATAAAGCGAATTATCGTTCGAAATATTAAAAAAAATCCAAGAATGAGTGCTCCTAAAGTTGCTTGATTTTAAGCATTATATGGAGTAATGTTAATCCTGAGACTATTAGAAGAGTAATTCGATCTGCTGGATATCACGGTAGAGCAGCCAGGAAAAAAATTCTTCGTAAGCGAAAAGAATAGAAAATCCAACATAAATAAGAATTCTGATTACTGGAATGAAGTTATATTTGCGGATGAGAGTAAATTTAATATATTTGGTTCTGACGGTAGAATCTTGGTGTGGAGAAAACCCAGGGAAGAATTTCGCAAACAGAACTTGGTGCCAACAGTAAAACATGGTGGAGGAGGAGTTATGGTATGGGGGTGTATGTCGTCCGCTGGAGTTGGTAATCTTGTTTTTATTGACAGTATAATGGATCAGTACAAGTATATTGACATTTTAAATCAAAATTTGAAATCTTCAGCACGAAAATTGAACCTTCATAACGATTTTAAATTCTACCAGGACAATGACCCCAAGCACACTGCTTTGAACGTTAGACTCTGGCTGCTGTATAACTGTCCTGAAATAATAAAACACCCCCACAACAATCTCCAGACTTAAATCCCATAGAGAATATTTGGCAAGAATTGGAATCAAGAATTCGCAAACACACCATTTCTTCAAAACAACAATTAAAATCGGTGCTTCTTCAAGAAGAATGGGGTAAAATCACTCCAGAAATCACAAAAAAATTAGTCGAATCCATCCCAAGAAGATTAAATCATGTTTTAAAAGTAAAAGGAAATCCAACAAAATATTAAAACCTTTTAAAAAGTAAAATTTTTGGATAAATATTTGATGGAAAAGTAAGTGTCCCATCACTTATGTGAGCCATTTTTTGCTCCGTTCTAAACAATTGTATTTTATTTAAATTAATATATTTTAATATTTTGAGAAAATGTATGTAATAATTGTTACTAAATTTAAGTATGAAACACACCCACAAAAATTTTTTACATGTTTTTTAAATTTATTTTATTACAGTTTCCTTTTGTAAAGCACAAGTGTCCCATCACTTTTTTGAGACCTGTAGATATATAATTTTCACTTCAAAAGGTAGAAATTGGAGGGTCGATAAAGTCCTTGAGAAGTACAAATCAAACATGAAGCAATACCCATCCCTACCTTTATAAACTTCTTCTATAATTCCAATAGCCAAAAATTTGTCGTCGCCCCTCCAGCAATAAACCTCACCCTTTTTAAGATTCCTTTCAGGAGATGGATTTAGAAAAGTATGCGCAGACCGTAATTCGAGGAGATAATTCTCCTTCCACTTTTTCCAAATTTGTTTCAAAAGATTAGTTTGATACAGTTTTCTTCTCCTAGTCAAAGTCTGCCTGTTCAATGGTTCATTTCCTGAAAAGGTCGGCGAAATGTACAGGATAAGAAATATTTTTTGCCCTGGAAACAAGAAATGGGCAGGTGTAGAGCTTCTTCTGCTCTTTTATTTCCTTATGGACATAAGTAAAGAGGTCTATGATTTAAAACTAACTCAATTTCTGATAGAATAGTCATCATTTCCTCAAAGTTAAGAAGAGCCCTTCCGAGAACCTTTCTCAAAGGATCTTTGATACTTTTCATAAGCCTTTCATAAAAACCACCCCACCAAGGCGCGTGAGGCGCAATATATTGCCAAGTTATGCCGTTATTGATATGAATCTTTTAATTTTGAATCTATTATAATTTTTGAAAATTCTTTAAGAATTTCATTAGTGGCTCTAAAGCTCTTAGCATTGTCGGAAATGATAACTTTACAATTTCCTCTCCTAGCTATTAAGCTCCTTAATGACAAAATAAAATTTTTTGTTGACATATTTGTGATTAATTCAATGTGCACAGCTCTAGTCAACACTGCATGTAAATAATTTTATGTAAGCCTTTTGAGGCGTATCCTTTCCTGATTTCATTAAAACTGGGCCAGTGAAATCTTATGCCAGTTACAGTAAAAGGAGGGTTTTCAGTAATTCTATTTTTAGGTAGTTGACTAGTTATTTGTTTAGCTGGTTTCAACTTATATACTTCGACAAATTAGGCAGTTACCTAATACTCTTTTTTATAATTTGTCTACCTCGTGGAATCCAAAATCTAGACCTAATTTTGGCTAGCGTAAATGTAACTCCACCATTGTGAAAAATTTTATTATGCTTCTCGAATAATAATTAACTCTGTAAATTTAGACTGCTTAGGAAGAAGCATGGGATGAGCTTCATCCTTTGTAAACGCTCTCCTTCTTCTAATCTTCCTTTTATGCGCAATACACCACCAACTGTCGAGAAATGGGGCTAAATTTGAAAGTGGAGAGAGAGTTTTTAGGAATCGACTTACCATTTTTAAGGTTCTTGTAATTCTAAGTTGAACTCTAACGTTTTGCTCATGTTTTATCCAGTCTATTTCAGCATTTTGAAGTTCTTCTGCTGTTAGGGGACCTGCAATCGTTTGTCGTTTTTGAAGTTTATTAACAAACCGTTTAACTAGTGCAGTTACTCTTAGTACTTTTAACAAACAAACTATATTTCCTTAAATCTAAAATAAATTTCGAATTTTCTACCAAACAGTTATTTTGCACTGTACTTTCAAATTCTTTTTTTAGCTCTAAGTCTACGTCTGTAGATTTTAAGTTCTCTCCTTTCAGTAGGCCAGTATTCAGGTGATTGGCTTTAGCCACGGTGGACCGTGCCACCAAAGCTGGTTTGTAGCTAAATTTGCTGCAGAAATTCCTCTGGACAAGATATCTGCAGGGTTATGCCTTACCAGGGCAATGAGCCCAATTATTGGTATCTGATAAAGATTGAATTTCTTCTATTCTATTTTTACGAAAGTTTTGTATTTACT